TCTTACCAAGGAATTATATAAATGTAACATCACCTCCCTTGACTTAAACTCCACACACCTAGAGATATAACCCAAAATTCTATTGGCCTTTTTTTATTGCTTCCCCACACTGGCGGGAGTGGGACATGGAAGCATCAACATACACACCGAGATCTTTCTCGTAATCAGCTACTTTTATTTCAGTGGAACCCATATAATGTCTGTACTTTATATTTCTGCTCCCTGCATGAATTACCTTACATTTATCTGTGTTAAATTTCATCTGCCAAGTATCAGCCCAGTCGCTAATTAAATCCAGATCCCGTTGTACCCTGTCTGCTGCTAGATCAGTATCTGCTACACCACCCATTCCATTACAAACATTAAAATCAGCTACATCAAAATCATTGGGTGGTTTGCAAACCCAACAGACTATTCAGGGGGTAACAGAACTGTTAGATATATGTAACGTGTGCAGATTTTTCTCGAACTGAAAATGTCACACGAGCCAGCTGACCGAAGTCGGCAGCCCTGAGACTGGCATCCCGCCCTGGGTATCGATCCGCCCTGGGCATCCCGCCCTGGGTATCCCCTGCACATGTCCAGTGCCGACACCAACCCAGCAGATATGCAAACCCACACCTAGAACCTCAAAGGCCTTACAGGTTAGGCACTGGCCACCTAAGGCAGGAACTGCGGGCTCAAGTGTTAAATGCTATTATCTGCCTATCTTGTATGTCCCTCTGCCAAATAAATGACAGAAGACGGCTGGATGAATTTCTCTGGGGGGCTATTGGCTACCTAAATGGCTATAATTAACATTCATACTTTGATTAGACCTGTTACACTGCAGTTCCTGGGCACCTCCCTGATGTGGGCTGAATTTCTTCCCCTAATGAACTTGACCTGACCACCTCACCTAAAATAAACACATTATCCATGATTTTAAAGAGCCTATGGCATTAGATCAGCCTTAGGACACACTGGTCACAGATCAGCCTCTTCCTTGCACAACAACAAGTCCAGTTTTTCCATATTTGTACTAATGGGTAAATTCCTACTGATACTCAACATTTAATGAAGCAAACACAATATAATAAACTAAATGTAAAGCATGAACTGCCATAAAGTTGACTTCAAAAAGCATCAATCCATCAGAACCTGATTATCCAAATAGCGTCACGGGATAGCAAAGAGCAAAGCTAGCTTAAGGCCTAAGTGGAGTGCTAAGCCATTACAGTCATCTCTTAAATCACAAACACTTCATACTATCAAGTATCTTCAGGCCGTTCAGAATCCAGGCCTAAGCAATGCCCAGTTATTTCATTACCATTTTCAGGATGGCAACAGCTCACATCTGGAAGCTGGTGAGCGCAACTGGAATTTACTCCAGGAGTGAAACGTGGGTGACCGTGAGCCTGGTGATCAAAATAGAATTCAATAATGCTAATGCAAAAAACCCCATCTGTCAACAGCAAACAGCCATGTTTATACCTTGCATGAAGATGTTTATATCTACATTGCACTGTCTGAATCTAAGACCATAAATATGCATAAATATACATTTATTTTCTTTATGACTGGAGTGATCTTTATTTAAATAATGGAATTTGTAAACACTCAGATCATAGATTTGCATTTATGTGAAATTTTTTTTGGTGGTTTACAGTAGTAAAGAAATAAATAGAACAATAACTTCACATCAGCTGGTCTCCTGTATTTATACCTGAACCATCTGAGACAATGTCATACTGTCCTTTAATACCCTTAATATTTTAGTCAGGACCTAATTTAATTATAGATATAGCAGATTAGCAGACAAACTAAGTAGCATGCCTAAATCATCAACCTAAATCATCAAAGGGAGTTACAGGAAAAGCAACTCTTCCATATACTAAAGGTCCTTTGGATGGATAAATAAATAAACATGAGACAACTCGCCAAGCTTCACTCTCTGCTTCAAAATGGATAATTACCAGAACTACGCTGGAATGTCTGAATACTTTTAGATGCTGAGACATAAAAATCATGTAACACTGTCACTACTGATAGCTACTTATCTACTACAGGGCTAGTCTGTGTTAGCTTTGCATTTGATAAGTGTTATTGAACATGCAGTTTACATGAAAATATTAAACGGATTATAATACTGCCGGTGGCCCGAGGTTTGAGGAGGCGATATTAAGGAATGTTATACTTATTAATTGCCAGAAGGAAGAGGTCTGCACTTCTGCAGCGACGTTGGTGCGGGACAGGAACCTGCCAGGGAGTGGAATCCAGCTTTTCTGAGGCTGAAGCTTAAAGTGTAATTACATCAATACGGGAGTCCATTAGGGATATACATTCTCCACACAAGATGATGTTCCAAGTAGAGTTATTTTTCACCATATAAGTTTGCAACAAAAATGACAGCATTCAGGATGCATCCTGCCTCCTCTGAACATTAGGACAATTCATCCCATTCATCAGTTAGTGAAAATGTATTTAACTTCAGTCTTTTTTTCTGTGGTTAATCTACATTCTGTAACTCCTCATGTTCATTAGGATTCTTAATGCATTCCTGTAATGCCTGATTCTGGGAGTGCAGATAGGGTAATTTACCACATAATCTTTGTATACAGCACCTATATTGGTCAAATAAATAAATGCTGCTAAAGTCATCCAACTATAACAAATTCAATACATTTAGCAACCACATCTGCTCTGAAAAATAAGAATGATCTTTATCTAAATTATACCTTGAAGAATTGTCAAAGTATATATTTGATATTTGATTTCAGTTTTCCGGTTCAGGTGACAATATGTATGAGAAAAGCAATTACATAAAAAACGCAACAATACAAAATATAAACAATCCTTTTAAAAGGCCATACACGTAATTTTAATTCGAAGGAGTGTAACTGCACATCATGGGGAGACATTCATCTTCCATTTTGAGGCCAACAGTCTGGATACTTTCATCGTGTGTCGATTACACGCAGGATATATTTTTTTTTTTAGGAGCTAGGCTGCCCCCTGCTGGGCTCTCCTACCCACTGTTCTCCAGAAATGCAGAGAACAAAAGGCTCTTGGCCATACGCATCCATAAATATTTGCTCGCAGAGCAGGAAACTACATTAGACTAACATAACATTTCTGTTTGCACCCCAGGGGCTGTGGGGTGCTACGCTTTAATTTTTACCTGCAGCCAGAACTCTCTTACAGCACAAAAACACATGTTCATGTGTGCACATTGCTCAAGGACATTTTTGCCCCCCCCCCAAAAAAAAATGCTGTGTGAAGCGGCATCTCAGCCTCTGGGTCGCGGTGAACTCCCAAGTAACCCCCTTTTCTGTCTGTTCTCTCTTTTGACCTCATGTAACATGTTCGGTTCCAGTCTTTCAACTGTAAACTGTAGCTTCTTTGGGGGGAGGGGGGCAGAAAGTTGATACAAGTCCTCCAGAATTGACTCGCAGGCACCCTATTGTTTTCTGGGGGGGGGGGGGGGGGGGGTATGGCAGAAGGAGGGGTTTAATTGTTTCCTAAATCAGTTTGGGTTAATTTCATTTACAGTAGATGTATATCACATGTGTTTCTCCTTTTTGTTCCTTTAATTTCATTATGATGTTCATCATTAACGTGGAACATTTTCAGCATTGACACAGCATGAAAGAGTTCTGCCTCGGGAGAAAGATACACATTGTATTTTTCCTCTGAGCCATTTATATTGTAAAACAAAGCAACGTGCTCAATATACATATCCCAATACTTGATTGTTTTCATTTCTGACCAAAACGCCCCCAGCTCCCTGCATTCTAACAAGAGTGATTGTGCAACTATGTGCTAGTTATTGACAGAAATTGTGATAGAAGGCATGTAGAGAACAAGAGCCCTGAGAGACAGAGCCCCCGCTGAAGCTAATGAGAGCCCTATCTGAAGAGACTCTCCTTTTCCCCTCTAGGGGGGAAAAATAAAATAAATGACACCTCATTACAGCAAGCCTAATTATGCTCGTCGTATTCTCTCTGCATTTAAAGCTGACCATTCCAGAGCTGAGTGCCCAATATGAGTAGCGTACCACAATGCAATACAAACACTGCAGTAATGCAGTGCAATGACTGCAGTGCAGCCAGTTTCCTTTCAATTCTCCACAGCGGTAACATTACCCCTGCGGGTGGGTTGTTCAGCAATATAAACAAACCTTCTGTGAATACCCGGGATACAAACAATTCACTTATAAGATCTCATTAATATTGCAGTGATGTGACTGATATTTCAATTACTGCCAGATAATGTGCCTGTATTTCCAGATCTTGAGGCCACATAAAAGTCACTATCTCTGCTTTGTGGGTTTCTGGTGCGGCTTATAAGCTCGTAAATGGCCGCATTAAGTTATTGCATCTGGGTAGAAACTGCCGTAATAACACGGTGATGCAGATAATGCCTCTGCAAATGCATGCATTCCCTGATTCCAAAAAATAACGGCTTTTCTATTATTAAAAAATAAAATTAAATGGCATCTTATAATCATTTATACTGTATAAAATTTATATAAACACAGCAAAAAAGAATTTGATTACATCCTGAAAAAATGAATAAAAACCTTATTATTAACCTGGTAAATTCACTAGTGCAAAGGGTCTGTTGAACACAGAATGTTGCCAGCTACAATCAGGGATTTTTTGTGGTTTGCGTGGTGTAGTCTGGAGGTAGGAGTGTCATGGCTATGTTGGAGGTGCAGAGTGTTCTAAGGTGGCCTGTTCTCAGTGAGGACACTGTTCCCGTCTCCGTGACAAAGCAGGACGTCCCTCTTAGAAGCTTCCAGCCATCCTCGAGACTCAGCGGTACTGAACCCTGATGCAGAATGTCTCCTCGTTTGTGTCATCGTGGTTGTTGATGAAGACCAGGATCTCCTCCACCCCGGCGCTCTGGCCGGGTGCGAAGCGAAGCCCAATAGTGTAGGTCTCTCCTCCCTCAATCTATCCGAAACACAAACACAGAGCAGGCAGTTAAAACCCAGACGGCTTAAAGCTTGGAATGAGTGGAATGAGTGAGCTCACATCACTTTCAAAAAACAAAAAGATGTGTGTTGTCTTCATGATTCCTTTGCAAAGATATGCAGATGTTATAGATGAAATCAGTCTTCAGAAAAACGTCTAGAACTATAATTAGCTTGGCATATCAGCATTACAGTAAACAGTACTCATATCTGAATATTGTTCATTTCAGAATGTACTGCTACAAGAGATGGATTATCTGTACACTCATTTTCCCAACAGATACTCGGATAAAGACTGCGGAATAGCTAAGTAATTACGCAATAAAGTAAATACGCAATACTGGTTTTCTTTATTTATGTTTCCAGCTACACTGTCATCCTTCACACGAGTCCATGGCTAACAGTGACTGGGACAGCACATCCCCACACAGAATTTTAAGCAGACCTACAGAGCTTCAGCTGTTCACCCTCAGTTCCATGACACACATTGCTGCCTGACTGCAGTGGCACCTGCATCTCCTAGGAGTAACTCGGTCAGGATAAGCATCAAAATGCAGATGTTTCAGAAGGGAGACCAAGCAGGCAGCATGGTCCATACGGGAAGGAGACTGAAGTGTAAATCAGAACTGGTTACAGCACTGAAACATAGGTACTTAAGCACTCTGCTGCCAAGAAGCATAAATGAGTAAGCTGAAGATATGCTAATTGCTTTGGAGAAGAGTCTCCCACTGTACATTATAAATAATGTTTATTACAAAGATGATGGCGGGGAGTGGACAGTAAGCTCTCAGCTTTATGTTACTGAAGGTCACTGATAAGACTGACCCCGGTGTATAATATTGTTAGAAAATATCAATCTCTACATTTTAAATACACCGTAAAATAGAACCAGCTAGCTAATTTCTCAATTATCTGTTGTCCTCAGTTTCTATAAGGCTATGATCATAAATTAAACGATAAAAAGAGATCACAGTCCAATCAAATATCTCTATCAGTCTTACCTGTTTTTAAAGCTGTGCATTTTCTGTTATGTCAACACTGCAGTCAAAATTGTTTTGTCTAGATTCAACCACGAATATGTCGTTCTGGTCTGAAAGAATTTTTCATTGATCAAAAGAAGCATAGCTTGTATTCATGTCTGTGCATTTGCCAATCAGGGTTACATGTAAATGTGAGATTTCAGGTGTTTTTAAATCCATGCCATTACGCAGGTTGACTGGCCAAGTCAAAACGAATAAAATATCTGTCTGATTTTGGGGATGTTGCGAGCACCCCGTGTTGTGGGTTGGAAATCATTGCCTGGGACTACAGCTACAGAATACAAGAGTTTAAAGTTTGAGTTAAATTTTGTAGAATAATTTCTGCAATATATCTCTAAAGGCTTACAAGAGTAGTAGGCTGTTTTTATTTTCCATACTATCTTTTAATCTTTTTAATAAAAGTTACTGGTTTATGGTTGTCTTTTTAACCTCTTCCTTGTTATGCGACCATGGGTTTTGTGAATGCTGCCACAGAAATGAATGAAACTTTTTATTATTATTATTTAAACTTCCAGTTGCCCATCCTGCTTCCAGTTGCCCACCCTGCTTCCAGTTGCCCATTCCGCTTCCAGCTGCCCATCCCGCTTCCAGTTGCCCATCCCACTTCCAGTTGCCCATCCCTCTTCCAGTTGCCCATCCCGCTTCAAGTTGCCCATCCCGCTTCGAGTTGCCCATCCCGCTTCGAGTTGCCCAACCCTCTTCCAGTTGCCCATC